GCGCCGCCGAAGCAGTGTGCGCGGGGCCCCTGCCTCTTGCTGGCGATGTCGCCGTCGACTTCACGCACCGCGCTTGCCGACCTTGGTTGCTGCTGGGCCGCTGTAGACATTGCCGGCGATATCCCTGAGTCGCTGCCCTCAAAGTGTGGCACTCATCAGGCTGCCCTTGTGAGCACTGGTCTGTGACACCGCCGATCTGGGCGGCACGGGTGCAGTCTTTGCATGGGACGAGGTTGCCAGCCCACCTCGCGTCTTGCGTCGGCCCCCCCAAAAGTCAATTGTAGGCAGCATCATTTCACTGCACCGTCCGCCATATCCGCCGCAAGTCTTGCCTCCGACGACCCGGCGGCTTGCTTGGTGCGTTTTCACAATACTTTCTGCGCCAACCCCACACTAGGTAGGTGGGGCCCGGCACGGGCACCGCACTTTTCCAGACACACTTGTGACGAGCGGCACGCGCCAGGCAGCCGCGGGTCCGGCCGCAAAAGGCGGGTGTGCGGCGTTCTGGGCCCCTTGAAGCGCCCAACAAAGAATGGCGCGGGCGAACCTACATCCCGCCGGCTGCGGCGTGGCGTTGGCCCTGGCCTCCGACGGGCGCGCACGCACTGCTGCAATGCTGCATGCATCGGAGCAGGCTGCGGCCGCCTGCCTCTGCGCGCCAGGGACTGGGCCGCCCCGCCCTGCGGGCGCGCCTCGGTGCGCCGCTAATAACACTCATGCACGCGGGCGCGGCGCGGCTTCCTGGGTGGCACAGGGCTCCGCGGCCGCCGCGCCCGCGCCTCCGCTCGTATCGCTCGCCATCGGCCTGTTGTTGCCACCACCGACTCAGGTCGAAGCCTCCCTGGGTTTGCACCCCTTCACTCTGCTTGCGCCCCGCCGGGCTCAGGCCCTTTTGAAATGGCCCGCCCCGCGGGCATCCCCATGCAACCCCCTCGCCGCCACCCGTCCCGATCCCATTTTGCCTGTTTTCACACATTCAAAGTGCAGGGAGCGGGGCGCCGGGCCAGCTCGGGGGCCGGGTCGCGTTGCCGGTAGTGCTGTCGGTGCGCCGATGCTCTTCCTTGGGGCTCATTGCAAGAAGGCCCGGGGATTCATTCTTTTGCCGCCAGGAGACGCGGCAGGACGCATCAACAGACGAGGAAGGGCAGCACACAGCACTGCTTTTCACGCACAGATTGCATGGCGCATGTCAAGGCGGGCTTTTCAGCCACCTTACCTTTCCGAATCATCGCTGCCTCCCCGTCTGTCCTGTCCACTTGCCTGTCGAGGCTCCGCCAATTCTGTCGCAGCAATTTCTGACTGTCAGGCTGCATCTACACCTATCCACGATCATGTCATTGTAAAATCAAAGCTCGTGGATCCACACAATCAAAGCTGCATTATCAACTGCACACCGGACACGGAGCGGCAGCACAGTCCAGCTGCGAGGGCTGAGGAGATGCAATGCGAGTGGGCGCCGCGTGGTCGGCAAGGAGAAGCGTGTTTGCAATGTCACTGTGACCCCCCATGTCTGGGGATTGGTGGGCAAGGGTCCTAGCTCAAGTCCGCAAGCGCAGGGGTGGTGTTGTGGTGCCTGACTGGTGCCAGGCGTGTTCCTGCAGGCGGTTCACAGGGCGGCGTGAGGAAGGCAGGCTCGGAGCCTGCACCCCATCGTTCAATGTTCACGCCGCTCCTGACCCGCGCCGCGCCCTCCGCCTGGAGTCGGGGTCATTGGATGTGGCTCCAAGTTTCTGCATTTTTCTGGACTTGCGGCCTTTGGGCCGGCCTGGTGTTGGGAGTTCACTGCCAGTTCTCAATGCAGTGGTTCACGGTGTGATCCGCGGCTCCAGCCGGCTGCCCAGCGGGTGATTCCCACCCGAAGGTGCCAAGACCGGCGCCCATAAGACCTGATACCCAAGACCTGTGGCTCCTACTCCATTATCTGAGTAGGAGGACGCCACGTCGAGTGCGACCAACACAGACCCGCGGCGTGTTTTCTCGGTGCGTACATGAGAGCGACGATACAGCTGAACGAAAAAGGCTGAATATCCCAGGAATTTCTTGAACCATTCGAGGCAACGTAGATCATCGCCCATTGCAATCAGATCTGCGAGCGAGATGCGGCCTCTCGGATCCAATGACAATCAGCATGATCAGACCTAGCTGATTGATCGCTACACGCATGCAGTGTGTGTGGAGCACAATTCAAACAGCTTCAGGAAGCCGGCAGCAGCTCAGCGCCAATTCTTGCACGCTGCAGCAGCATGTGTCACGGGAACTTTTCATGTGCGCTGGATGCATCGTTATGATACTTGGCATTTCCAGTGTACACTCGTCCCACATGTCCGCCTGCCGCTTGCAGAGGCCGATCTACAGCGCACCTGGAGCGAACATCGGGCGCCATGCGGACGCGCTGTTGCCGGCAGTTGCATAGCCCTTCCTGCGTCGCTCAGCCATGCCGCCTGTTTCCAGCCAAGCATAACGACGGCGCCGCGCTTGGCACAAGGCGCCGTGTTCAGTTCTGCCGCGCGTCAGCAGCTGAGTCACTAGCTTTAGACCCCAAAACCTCGGACCACTCGAGCGACTCCTCGGGACCTAGGGGCAAGAATACGGACCTATTTTTGTCATGAATGATCGAATGCATATTCTGAAACTGATTGAAGCTTGCGATACGTATGCGGCCGATGGCAAACAAGTAAACACAAAGCAGCAATTCACCATCCCTCCACGCTTTGCCCCAGCCAGCTTCAATCCACAGGGATGCCACGCTTCCCGGTCGCTTTGCTGGTTGTGGCAGCCCTCGTCGTCTGTGCCGCCGCCGACGATGTGATCACAACAGGTGGGCGGCTGCATGCAATGTCAAGCCGTCGCTGGGCTGCCAGTGGTGGTGTGGTGGTGCAGAGCAGCAACAGACATTGAGAATGCATGCCTGCGCCACCACGGACCTCGCTTTGGTGGCTGCAGCCTCGATACTCCTACTCCTCGCACCTCTTGTGACGTCAACCACGCACCTCTACCGCAGGCACCGAGTTGCCCGTCCGTCTCCTGGGGCCGCCCGTGCGCGCGCCGCCGAAGGAATGGGGCGCAGGCGGCATCCCTCCCCCATATGGCCGCCGCAGTGAGTGGGGACAGGGGTCGAGTCCTGGGCGGACCGAAGAAGATCCTTGCCTACAATAGCCGGCCGGCCGGCGGGCGCGGCGGGGTTGATGCAGGATGTCGCTCCTGCGAACTATCGCTGGGCTGGTTCGCACGACCCGTTGCATAATCGGGGGCGCGGCTTGCGGTCTGCAGGCACCAGGCCAGTCGCTTCATGCACTCCAACACCCTTATCCCTCTGCCGTCGCTCACCCGCAGGCCCGCCCGGAGAGGGCGTCCCGAAGCCTGAGCATCCCCCCGGCCCCAAGCCAGGCACCATTTACTGCATCCGCGCGCCCTGTCCCTGATCGCCCCCGGCCTCGCCCCTTGACCTTGATCAGCAGCTGGGCGTTGTGCAGGGCTGCAATGAATCTGCCGCTCCAGTGTTGGTATTACTATTGCAATTGTCATGCTGGTTGACACACTGATCGCTTTTTCCTGCTTGATCGAGTTTGCGTGTTACCTGTGGTTGCGGTGTTGCAGCCATCGCACCCCCAAGAAGGAGTGCAGGATGCCGTGCATTGCTAGAAGAGCAATTCGGAGGGTGCAGCAGCTCGGCACTGCACGCAGTGGGCAGCTGAGCAGCACCAGCTGAAGCACTTTAACGATGATGTAAGTGTTGACCGGCATACAAAGACATTTCACACACAGCTGTGCAAAACAGCATGAATCATCTTTCAGCACTGCTTTGTACACGACATGCTGGGTCAGAGCATGCACCCGGCGCTGATGGCGTTGCCATTCGCACGTGTTCCCAGGCAAGCGCTGTATCATGGCCAGTGACTATGTGCCTCCAGCAATGCAGTGCACGAAGACCCGTGGTAGCTACGAGATCAAGCCATGGGCAGGAAGAGCAAAAGGACGAGCCCCCCCCCCTGCCCGGGTCCCATCGTAGCGCTCCCCCGGATGACTGCGGCATGCTGTACACTGCGCGACAGGTGCTCGCAGGACAAGCTCAAAGGCAAAGAACTCATGAGGTGTCCTAGGTGGTGTATCACCTGCCACTGCTTATTGATGTACCACTGGCCTGCTGTTCAAGCCCCGGTGCACTGCTGGCCGCTGTTTGTGTGACCACGCATGTCTGGCTTCCTTGCAGTGGCAGGCAGGCTGCGACGTCGGATCACGGGCCATCACCCCCGCATCTTCGTTGCGGCTTACTGGAAAGTATTGCAAGCTATTGCAATTGATGAGTCGGCATCCTCAGACACAGCCACGTACGCGTTTCGTCATACCAGAGTACCGTGCCGGCAAACCAACCTCCGTAGCACCAAGACGCGCGGTATCAACCCAATCACGGGTGAGATTTGGCTGTAAAGTTTACGGCCTTGCTTATGATACCTCGCTGCGTCAGGGATGGCTGCCTGAAAGAATGCGGTCCGGCCGCTTTTGGCCATCTGCACGCCCAGCGCTGCCAGTGGGCACCTTGTCAGGTTGTGCCGGTTCTGCTGCCAATGAGCTGTCATTTATATCACAGCAGTTCCGCGGGATGCCGCTGCATCGAGCGGGGGCAGCAGCTCCAACCTGAGCCGTCCCGCAGAGTCCGCTGCCCGCCACATCAGCTCCGTCACCACCTTCATCAGTGGTGGTGACCCGAAAATCTCCAACCGCTGACGCAGCTTCCTGAGATCTGAGAATTGCAAGACTGAGATCCCTCACTGATTACGTACCCTTGACAACCCCACTCACGCCGCTGCTAACTTTGCGGTTTTGCTACGCAACCGCAAATACACAACTGCTGTTGAACTGCCATCTCCGCGGACAAACAAGTTGGATGCAGATTGGCGCTTCAAAACTACAACATTCAGTGAAGTGTTGTTGTGTAGCAGTACAGCTCAGCGCTTCCTGCAACCTCCGTCCTCATCCATCCCAACGCAAACCCTGCAGTGATGCGGCGCCTCCCTATCGTCCTGCTGCTGGCGGCTGCTGTCGTTATGTGCGCCGCCGCCGCCGATGCCGACACCGCGGCGGAAGCAGGTGAGGGGCTGGGCTCAAATCACGCGAAGCTGATCCAGCCGTCAGCGGGCGGAGTCAGCAGCCCCCAAGCAGCCGCGTCGCAGGGGTGGCCCTTCAACGAAGCAGCCGGGCGAGCAGGCGCTGAACTTGCCCAGCGTGCCCCTTTTACAACTTCGTGGATGCTGGCAGCGTCTGCTGTCACTTCGGCTCACACGTATCTTTTGTTCCGCTGCCGCATGTTGCAGCGACGGATGCCCCTGGTTACGTCCCCACGCAGCCCCTGCCTGGGCAGTGGAACACCGGTGGCTGGCCTTGGGGCCGGCGCTGGGGTGGGTTGCCTGCGCACGCTCAGGGGCCGCTCCATGCTCGAAGGGGGATCGGTGCAGCACAGACCCAGTGAATGCATGGTCGGTTGCTTGTTGATACATGGCGAGCAGCGGAGGCTTGCGCTCATCCCCTGAGGGAGCCTCTCTGTATGTCGTCGCTTTCGCAGGCCCGCCCAACGGGGGTTGGCCAAGGCCCGTCGACCCCTATCCGCCCATCTGGAGGCCAGGTCCCATCTACCCACCAGGCCCCATCCACAAGCCAGGCCCCATCTACTGCATCCGCGCCCCATGCCCCTGAGCCGCGAGCTGGCTGGCTCCTGAACAGTGCCGCCCATGAGCGCGCCGCTCATGGGCGCGTGCCCCCTGCTGTTGCGTTCCATGCCGCAGTCTTCTGTTGCTGAAGTTCACTAAACCTGCTTGCTTGCTATTGTGTGGTAAGCGCACTGCCCAGGATTTGATTAGTGCAGCCTCCCGGGTATTGGTCCGGGAAGTCAGACACTGCTCTGGGGCACTGCAGTACGCAGCACTGCAGCACAACGCAAGCGGTCGGCAGCTCGGCAGGCCAGCTGGAGCGCATTGATTACCACACCAGACACAAAAACGCTTGTTGACCCGCATTGTAGCTCTTTGTCGCACGCAAGGACGCAACAACTGCAGATCGACACGACCGTGAAAAAAATCTGACATCGCCTCAACCGCGCATTCCGCACAATGCTTGTTCGGAAAGCGTTCAGTGCCGACAGCGTGACGAGCCAGCGGCACCGCACGCCTGCATCGCCCTCCGTCGTGCAGCGCCATCGACGTGTTGTGGCTGTGCGCGCTGCAGCTGAAGACTACACTGCCCTGCAGGGATGCAGCGTTCTGCGCGCGGATGATGGGCAGTCGGTGGAGCTGCTGTCACTGTGGCCGGTGAGGGCGCCACCTGTGCGGCCGATCAAACTTGTATCCAGCCCTTTGCACAGGCAAGATGCTGACTGCGAGCGGCACCAGGAACGGGAAGAGCAGGAGCACCAGCAGCGCCAGCAGCAGCAGCAGCAGCAGCAGCTGTTGTCTTTCCAGAATCAAGTTGCAGGGAGCAAACACCAACCGGCATCAGCCAAGCAGCAGTCGCAGCCGCGACGACGCTGCCTGCGTCACCAGCCTCCTGAGCGGCCAAGGCACGCGCGAGTTCAGCCGCAACTTCTGCAGCCGCCAAGACAATGAACCCCCGCACTCGACAGCTCCCAAGCGCCGCCTTTTCGCGACTCCGCTGCGACCCTCAGGCAGGCGGTGTTCACCCTCTGCTCTTTTCTGGCCGGCCCCCAACCAGGGCATCGCCGGCAACCGGGTGGTGGTCCCCTTCCTGACTCACTTCGGGGACCTGACGAGCTGGGAATTTGCCCAAAAGCTGCAGAAGAAGGCGCTGGGGCCGCTGCAGGAAGCCGGGGTCAAGGTGGGGTCGAGCCCGTGGTCTCCCTGCCGAGGCTGCTGCTGCACGATTTCAGCGCTGATGTCAGCAGGACCCCGGCCGCCTAGGCCGAGCTTCGCCGCAGTGCTACTGCGTCTCTGCATGGTTGGGCAGACCAGCGGGCGCAGGAGGTCTGCTGGGAAAGCACGCACAGGACGCGTGATGGCAGCAGGGCAGCCCCGAGGGCTCAGCCCCGCCAACACCCGCGGCCGCGCCCAACCCACACAAGGTTATCTCCGTCGGCCTCGGGTCCCCGGAGAGCGCCCGCACTTTCGCCGCTGCCCTGGACTACCCCTTGGAGGGGCTCTATGCAGACCCCACCGGCGCCTGCTGCAAGGCCCTCGGGTTCAGCCCGGGGTTTGCGGACAGCGTGGAGGGCGTGGACCCGTACCTGAAGCTGCTGCCCATGCTCATGGGGATCGGCAGCCCCGGGACCGTGCAAGAGGTGAAGGGGG